TTCATGTGAACTGCATACCCTACAGGAAGAGATGGTAAAATATTTCCAATATGCAATAACACTGCCTTTAAACTCAATGTTGAACTGTCTATAAACAATCTCCATTCTTTTAGGTTATAGTTTATATTTAAAGCCGCCAGTAAGCCGTTAATGTTACTGCAGAAAACCAAGTTATTCTCTATATTGAAAAATGGTTCTAAGTCTGTGTGGCGTTTACGAAAAACACATACCGAAACATCGTCTTCTAACAAGTTCCACTGCTGCAGTCTTGATCCAAGTAACTCTGCCTTACATTTTGGAAGTTCTAAATCTCTTACAAGATCATTTAATTCTGATTGTGTTATTTTGTGCGGTTGGTGGCATGACGTGCTCGGTATAAAATCAGGATCTCTTGACGTTGATGGCATCTTCTTACTGACGAATCACTCGATCGCCATGATCTGATTCGTTTTCTGATTCGCAAGTGTAGGATTCTGGGGGTTTTGGAATAGGATTTTTGTCACTGTGAGGCACAGGTCTCATCGCAGATTGTATGTTTGGGTAGTTAATAACCGATTTTTTTTTTCTTGGACATACCTGTGGCTTGTCCAACACAAGGTACCATGCAAAAGTAACAATCATTAATATGATTTGTAGGCTCTCTCCAAACCATTGGGACAGCAAAGCGCATAGACCGTTTTTTGCCATTTAACCAGCTCCTCAGACTTGAAGCACATGTATTACAGCAGATGTGGGGTACCCACTGTTTGTCTTGATCACCTAGTTTACAACCGAAATAAAGCTGATATGCCTTTGTTATTAGTGGAGTAATAGACCGTCTCTGAGACGCAAAAGTCACATCACCACACACGTAACAAAACTGATCTGGATTGTTTACACACTTTCGAGACATCTTGCATGAACGCTGTCAGCCAACTGAGGAAAAAATGGCTAATATAAAACAATATAATGTACACGTATGTATAACGTAACACAATCATGCCGATTACATCATCTTTCCTTGCCGAATATAAAAATATAGCACGTGCATTCTTGTGAATTACAGTATATTAACACTGTCACAGCAGGAACACATATAATTACCGTATCTCTAAAACTTGAACTAATATTGAAAAAATAAGTTTCATTCCGGTTTTAGCACATTAAAAATAGTAATATTTTGTTGATTTTATTTAGGATATTTTTTGGCTGTTGATCAGTGATAATTGAATAATAATTTTGCAATAAATATCTAGTTGCTCTGGAATATGTCACTGGCTTTTATATTCTGACAAGTCTCTGTTATTGAAATCTGTTCGCTGTGACATCTTTTTCATTATTTAGTTTCTACAATCTTGTTAATAATGGTGAACTATTCAAATGCAGAAATGGCGGAAATGCATCACGTATATGGCCTTGCCGACGGTAATGGTGAGCAAGCCAGACGGATTTATCACCAGAGATATCCCGATCGTGCTTTGCCAGATATTCGAACCTTTTCTAATATTCATCGTCGTCTTGTTGAAACTGGTTCTGTCCGAAAAGGAACATCTGAAGGTAGACCTCTATGTGTGAGAACACCTGAAATTGAGGAAGCAGTGCTGCACGTAGTCGAAGAACATCCTGAAACGAGTCCGAGGAAGATCGCTAGACACTTAAATATTTGCCATCAAATTGCTTGGAGGCATTACTTCCCATTGATTTTCCAAGGCGTTTGATCTTTCGTCAGTGTTATCTTCAAAAAATTGCACAAAATCCGCAATTCGAATCAATGATTCTGTTCACGGACGAAGCTAATTTTTCTCGAAATGCCATTCAGAATTTCCACAATAATCATTTGTGGGCACAAGAAAATCCCTATGCCGTAACCGAAACCCATTTATATTAAAACATGGAAAAATGTAAGACAAGTTTTCAATCCTGTGTAATGAATATCCTGTTTGTAAAAACCTTTTTTTCATTAATCAAATATCTGCTGTTTTATTTGAAAGCTCAGTCTAAAATATAAAAGGAATCTCATGATTTGGGAGCATGAATTCTTAAGGAATTATGAAATGGATCCCTGATTACAGGTACTTGAAATGAAGTAATTTTGTTGTTTCGAAGTAATGTAGCTCTTAAAACTGAGAAATTGACATTACCTCAAAGAAATATGCCTTAGAAATAACTTAAGAACACCATTTTTTGTGTCTGTGTGTTTTCCAAACGAGCTGTGTGTGTGGTATCAATGAAACAATTCTCTCAATATTTAACAACTGAGTGGAGATCAGAAATATACAAAGTGAATAGGAGTGGCCCAAGTACAGACCCTTGAGGCACTCCGGAGGAAATGAGGCACTTTGAAGATAAAACCATGTCAATGTGTACCCTTTGATATCGATTTCCTAAGAAGCTCTGAATCATTTTTGAGGTAGAATCAGAAAAACCAAAATATTTGCACTTGGCTACTAGAAGACGATGATTTATGGTATCGAATGCCTTAGAGAAGTCAAGAAGAACTAATGATGTGATCAAATGTTGATCCCAGGCTCTAGCAATGTGTATGGCCAGTTGTATAGAGTTTTTTGTGCCCGGTGTGGCTTCTCACCGTGGCAGGATCCCGTATCTTGGTTTTGTACTTGGTACAAAATATCCCCATCGGTACTAGACAAAACCTGCTAATTCGGCCATCCAACTATACTAAGTGACATATAAATCCGAACACCCAGTTTAAATGGTTTTATTTTAATAAAAGTTGGTGAATGTATTTATCTTACTGTAAATAACAAGTGAAAAAATTCTCAGCCTTATCAGTTGGACATTCCGGTTTTTATACTGCTTTTTTTTAATTCACTAACGCTCTAAAAATGAATATTTCAGCCGCAATAAAGAATCAACGTTGGTGGATTTTTGTTCTTGACATCCTTTACGATCGGTTACGATGCCTAGAGTACGATTTCGTCAACTTAGTGAGTTTGATAGGGGCCGTATAGTGGGACTTCGGGAAGCTGGACTTTCTTTTCGGGCAATTGCAGTTAGAGTGCAAAAAAGTGTAGACACTGTGGTTAGGTGTTGTCAGGCATGGCTTCAGGCACTCTGGGATCAGGAATGGAACAGTATTGTCTTTTGTGACGAGTCTCGATTTTGTTTAGGCATGCACGATGGTCGTGCCAGGGTAAGAAGGCGACGTGGTGAAAGGAGGAATCCACAGTTTTTTGTTGAAAGACATGTTCATCACACTGTTGGAGTTATGGTTTGGGGTGCTATAGCTTATGGTTCCAGGTCACCTTTAATCTTCATCAGAGGTAACATGAACGCGCAGCGTTATATCCACGAAGTTCTATAACCCCATCTTTTACCCTATCTTGACACCCTGGCAGATCCAACTTTCCAACAAGATAATGCCCGACCACATGTTGTAAGAGTCACAATAGACTTCTTTCAACATAATGATGTCACATTGTTACCATGGCCACCAAGATCGCCCGACTTATCCCCAATTAAGCACGTGTGGGATATGATGGGTAGGAGATTGCTCAATTTGCAACGTCCTCCTCAGACTCTAGAAGCACTTCGAGAGGAGTTGGTGGTTGCCTGGAATGAGATACCACAGGAGGACATTGACCACCTGATCAGAAGCATGCCTAGGCGCGTTGGAGAATGCGTAGCACATCAGGGTGCATCCACACATTATTAAAGGTCAAAGGGCTTTAAAGTAGTGCAATCATTTTGAAATTTTTATCATTTACTTATTATGCTTCATTAACTACTTATACAAAATTTTATTAAAATAAAACCATTTAAACTGGGTGTTCGGATTTATATGTCACTTAGTATATTTGGTAACATCATCAACGATACAAAATACAGATTACAAAAACTAAACATCAAATTGTAGTTTGAAAAACCGAAACCCGTGTACGTGACTCCTTTATAATTTCCTCGTAATTTTCTTTGAGGAGAAAAAATCCGAGAGTGGTTACACTAATAATAGCCACTTGGCCCCGCTGAAGGAAAAGATAAAAGCAAACAAACCATTAGGCAGCGGTTACCGCGGACTATTGTTAAATGACAGGTAATCTAAACGCTAGTAACAGCTTTACTGACTTTACACTTCAGACGCGCTGGATGCATCCGTCATAGTACAGTCAATCGATTTAGTTTATTATTCAGCTGTTTGGACACAGGTTTGTATACAGGGTGTGCCAGAAATAACACGCCAGAGTGACACGGGAGGTAGATTGGCTTCAGGTCAATCAGATAAAATCAACATGACATTAGTAAAAGTTTTCTAGTTATATTGACACTTTTAAGTTTTTTCAAAAAATCACTACTTCTGGCTCCTTTTTTACCTGTTATGGCTATAATGAACTTTTAGCTGATGATTTTTTCCCCTGGGCTACTATTATTTGCATTCATTCCATTGAAAACTAGCACGGAATGCTAAAAGGTTCAAGCCTTAGTGATTTGGATACAAAAGACGGATGCACTTATTTTTTACTTGTAGTATTTCGCAAATATTACGACTTCAATGGCAAAACTTGGAATTATCCAATTTTTAGTAGAAAGAAGGTTCTTTCTTTTGTAGGTACAAATGTTATACTATTTTTAAAAGAGCACTTAGTTTTTAAGATCATTTGCCGATTCGGTCTGATACATTTTTTCACAGTAATTACTCAAACTTTAGTAAGGAATTTCACACTGAAACAAAATGTAATAATTTCTTTTAGCATTCAACTAATGGTTGCTCAGGAAGAAAAAGAAGTTCTTTATAGCCCTAACAGGCAAAAAGGACCAAAAGTAGGGATTTCTTGAAAAAACTTAAAGGTAGCAAAATCTCGAAAACTTTGACTGAGGTGAGATGTTTATTTTATCTGATTGATATGAAGCCAATCTAACTCTCGTGTCACTCTGGCGTGTTATTTCTGGCACATCCTGTATACAGCACGTCATATATCATCCCACTTGACAATGTAAAATAGTGAGTAATATCCATGTAATACATGAAATATCAGAATAGAGAATAGTCCTTTTGAAATACACATACACCTTTAGAATACACATTAACACATAGTTTGAAAGCAGACATCATATAAGAGAAAATGTAAAATAATGCACATTAACATTTAAAATGTATCTTCCAAGAATTCCTGGTGGCTGTAAGTATAGAAGGGTTATTTTTTTTTATTAATTTGCTTATTCCCAGTCTCTTTAATATATTGTAAAAAAAACGGATGCAGTAGTACACTGGAGACTGTTCAAATTTATCCGTTTTGACGCTATTACAATGTCTTGTATTGGCACCATTAAGCTCTTAAAGTCATCCCAATGTTGTATGGCATATATTAAGCAAAGCAGTCTAAATATGCGAGGTGTGTAAATTCAGTGATGAGACTTGACATTTTTGTATTTTTTTTATTCAAACATAATTACAATTTTATATTGTCAGCCTCAAAATAACTTTCGTCAGAAGCAACACAGCGCTGGGAACGGTTCTTCCACTTCTCATAGCAGTGCTGGAGCTCCGATACTGGAATAGCCTTCAGCTGGTCGGTTAAAGCCATTTGAATGTTTTCGACTGTCCCAAAATGAGTTCCCCTAAGGTGATTTTTCAACTTCGGAAAGAGAAAAAAGTCAGGCAAATAAGGAAAATGCCTTAAACCACCGAAAAACCTGGCCCCTTGTCAAAACACTATGTCGGCACGCCTGTTGAGGTTTAGAAAAACCTTATAGCACACGGTTGCTTGAAATTTATGTCATAGATTTTTAGGACACAGTAGCAAAACTGTTTTAAAAAAAAACGCTTGAACAACCAAATGAATCGAGAGAGTGCAAACTTGTATTAGATGGTTCACATGTTTCCCAGTCTCCCCTCCAAGGCCGGCGTTTCCAGTGTTGCCAGATTGAATGCTACGTTGCCAGTCTCCAACTAATTTACACACCTAGTAGAAGCAATGGTTAGGAGATGAATCTTCACAAAAGTTGGTTTATAGCTGTTTTCGGGGCTCTGATCATGAATTAACCTAATAATCCTTTTTTTGAGCAATAAAGACCCGTGTTGTACCACCACTGCCATTCCAGTTCATTATATTAAATAACAGGTGGATGAAAATTTTGCCTGACAGCAGATAGATTATAAATATAATGTCAATTTAATTAAAAAATTATATTATCAAAGTAACAACAATTACAGAAGAGTGAAAAAACACTACGGTTTAAGTTTTACAGCGAAATATGCCAATTTTACAGTCACAAGTTAAAGAAATAGCAGTATATTTATCTGAATATGATGATATAATTCAAGTTATTTTGTAGTTTTTTTTTCTTTTCATCGTTTCCACCGAAGTTTCTCGGCGAATCGACCAACAAAAATCTGCAAGCATTGCTGCTGACCATTTTTCACTGTAGAATCTTTTAATATGAATAATACCCTGTTGAAACCTTTCACCATGCTCATCTGATACGGCACCGAGATTTTCCGGAAAGAAATCTACATGCGAGTCCAAGAAATGATTTTTGAGTGAAATATTGCATCCTAAAGCTTTATAAGAAGCTCTCGAAAGATTTGTGTCAGCTTTTGTATTACCTAAAAAATTATGACACACCTTTACAAGCTTTTTTCAGCCTTGTTTAACTTCAACTTGAAAACTTCATCCGTCATGAGTTCTCGTATTTGCGGACCTACAAAAATTCCTTCTTTCAATTTCGCGTCACTGATTCGAGGAAGTTTTGTTTTGCGATATTGAAAGCCTGCACAATTCTTGATCATAGCCTTCACAAAGTTTTTCATGAGTCCCAACTTTATATAAAGTGGTGGCCGGAAAATTTTGTCACTTGACTCTAGAGGTTCTTAAGATACATTTTTAAGTCTAGGTGTCAAGCTTTTTCTTTGTGACCAAGTTTTTACTTTGTAATGTTTGTCTTTCGCGCGACTGCCCCACTCACATAAAAAACAGCAAAACTTGGTATATCCTTCTTGCAATCCAGTAAGTATAGCGACCACTTTTAAGTCAGCACAAAAAATTTAATTTTGAAAAATTTAAACGTGATAGAAAAAATCGGCTACCGGAAACAGATACAGAGCATCAAAATCTTCATATTTATAATACAATTATTTGCAGGAAGATGTTGTTGCGTACCAGTGTAATTAGAACTATCAGACCTAACAGACCTACACTGATTTAACAAAGAGTAAAGGGCATATATGGATCGCTCTGTCAGCCAACAAAGAATAGCAAAAGACAGTGAATAACGCACAGAGTATATATACGTATATATATATATATAAGTGAAAAATAAAGCTTCCGACTTTAGTTGGGTACTTCGACAAAATTCAAGCAATGAGGACTCCTTATACATATATATATATATATATATATATATATATATATATATTTCTTCTCTCTCTTATTGCAGCTCCTGATGAAGATGGCAAAGTCCATTGTAAGCTACAGGCTAGTAAAGTATAAAGAGTCCTCATTGCTTGAATTTTGTTGAAGTACCTAACTAAAGACGGAAGCTTTATTTTTCACCTAACTGGTCTAGACGACAATGACCACGTCTCAAGTTATATATATATATATATAGAGGGAGAGAAAATGATCATGCGGAGAAAGGTATATAATAAAAAATAGGAAAATAGTGGGCAAAATCCGCGAAAAAGAGGAAAGTAGATTCGAGCAGCAAACAGGATAGGTAACCCGAGCGATACGTATTTCTGCTGGTTGGCTTCATCAGGCCCGAAATGAATGCACATATGAAGGTAGAAGGTAGATACACATGCCCACACACAAAATATATGAGAAAAAGAACAAGAAAATAAGTCTTTGATGGTTTTGCTAGTGGGATACATTTTTGTCTTTCATACACCTTTCTCTATCCTTTTTTGAATACTGAAGGTTGAAAAATTATGAAAATATGTTTCTCATTGCAAGAAGAAAAGTTTAGATGCTTTCACCGGAAAAGCACGCTATTCTTATTTTCAAGCTCTTTACGGTAAACAACGTGTTTTGCACTATTCTTCAAAATCTGAATAATTCGATAGGTCTAAAAAAATCCATACAAATTGCATTATTTTCACTCTATAAGATGGTGTGATATAAGACAACGTAAATTCGCTTGCAAAAGCCCAAAAAAGCTGTGTGGTTGATTGTTAGGGCAAAATGACCATTCAAGATTCTTCGTAGCTTGCCACTGAGATGATTCTAAAAAATACGTGAAAATTACACTAAAATATTATGTCTATTCATGTAAACGACATTAGCATTTTTAAATATTATTTTACATTTCGAACATACCGCCTCTATTCACCATCTCTCCCACAGATCTGGGCTCTTCTCGAACTGAAGTCCTATATTCGCCATTGTACACATCTCATATGTAGATCAAGTATCAAAGTGTCATTTGTGGTCATTGCTCAATTTTTTTTATCTCTTCGAATTTGCAGACACACATTTTTTGCGGAACAATAAAATGCGTGTGTAAACACAATATAATTTCTTTCAGATACCTATTGGGTATTTTTTATCTCTTTAGGCGCTAGCTTACAAGTTAAATAGAAAAAGAAATGGTAATTTGTACGAAAACTCCCTCCCTAGGCGGATCAGGTGCATAATCAGACATGAACACTCGCTTGTGACAACGGAAGACGAAGGTTGAAAATTTGCTCTACAAAGAAAATTTCTAACAAGAAAATTTTTTAAATCCCTTGTGCATTAATCTTATATTAACCGCTAGCACTTGAAGTTCGACGACTCGATGATATGAGCTATTGGTACTGGACTATAACAATGACTTGGCGTCTTATCTGAGAGGTACACTCTACAGATGCCGCAAAGACGCAAATGGGGCCCAATTACCACCGATTTTGACGTTAGATTCTTTAGATAAGCAACCGAAAAAAAGCATTAGCGATGTCGTGTTATACAGGGAAGCTAAATTTAGGTACTTAATAGATACGTCATTTTGATTTATCGTTGATAGTTTAATCAAACGCCTGGTTGTTGATAAGAGCTGGAGAGTAAGTACCATTGTAATGGCGGGTCGACACCAAACCAACAAAACAGGAACAACATTGGTTATTACACCTGCCTGGACGAAATAACAAAATACAGGCTGCAAAAGTTAAAAACATATGCTCCCGCTATCTAAACAATTCAAGAAGGTATGGTGTATCTGAAGTCACTTGAAATAGCATAAAAACCTTTGGTCGGCGCGTCCTTTGTATATTCATGACCTATCATAGGCGTGCGGCATTTATTTAGAACGATAATAATAATGTTTTTATATCACAATAAATGGATTTTACTATCTTCTTATTTTTTTTGATTTGGGATAAAAAATACTTATATTGGGAGTTTAATTTATGTTGACTGAAAGTTAAGAAATGGAAAAATTACAGAATTCCAACGTTTGACATAGGCAAATGTTTACCTAGCAGGTAGGTCTATAAAAAGGTATATAAAGACTTACATTATAGGTATTTATATATCATCCTCGCCTTCGGAGCTGTCGCTAGAGTCATCTTGTAGAGGAATTACAACGGGATTTACAGGAGGCAAAACACAATATTCATTTTCTTTTTCAATAATATGCCTAGAACACTGCTTCCATAGGTCTGTGGCAGCAATATGAGATACTGCATCTCTTATTGTGGCCAATAGCGATTCACTTAATTGAGGGGTCTGATTATGTTTTCTTACTTTTTTTTTAAAGCAGCCCAGGCCAACTCAATCGGGTTAAAAATGCAGTAATAGGGAGGTAGACGTAATACTTCATGGCCATTTTGCTGAAGCAGATTGTCAACAACATACTCTTTTTCAAATTTTTGTCTTTTAATAAGATCCAATAATATGGCTTTGGTTGATTTTTGTGGTATTTCCATTCCCTTATCCTTCATAAAATCAATAATGTCTTGTTTTTTTGTGCCTGTATTCGGAATTTTGTTTTTCTGTCGGGAATGGTATGGCGCATTGTCCATAATAATCACTGAATTTGGGGAAATGTTTGGTATTAACTGCTGCTCTATCCACTTTTCAAATAAGTCGGAGGTCATGTCCTCATGATAGTCGGCACATGATTCTTTGATATTTTTGGCAGATAACAGCAAGGCATTAGGTATAAATCCATTTTCACTGCCAGCATGGAGAATAATGATTCGTTTTCCACGGTTGCATGGTGCATTTAAAATGCACTTGTTGCTGTCGTCAACCCAGCCGTACTGCACAACATCATGGGTATCATACCACGTTTCATCCAGGTAAATCAGATTTCTTTTCTGCTCTCTATAGATTTTAACTTTGTGCAAAAATTCTTGGCGCAATTCAACGATTCGAGACGACTCCATAATTACCATTCTTTTATCTAATTTTTTGTATTGAAAACCACACAGTTTTACAATACAGTGCAGTGAGTCTAAGCATTTGTAATTATAAAAATCTTCAGGATAATCTTTTAATTTATCCCGTATCATTTCCAACGTGGGCACCAAATTTTTTTTATAAAATCCGTATATTATACGACGAATACCTTCCTGAAAACCCACGTCTATTCTTTTTAATTTTTGCCCTATGCGCTTTCTGTGGAAGGAATGGTTGACTACATCTCCCCTTTATATAACCCGATAAATGGTAGACCGACTGATTTTTGTCAGGATACAAATTCTGTTTAAAATTTGATTTTGCGAGGAATCTGGATTTTCGTTTTTCAGACAATCATACATATTTAGGATTACTCTTTGGGTCTGTTCCTCTAAATCTTTATGAAAGAATTCTGCCTGCACAGGTTCATCAACCATCTCCTCGTGGCTTGGAGCATTTTCCCAAGGTCTCCAAAGAGCCATATTTAGGACACACAAGAATAATCAACACAACAATTAAATGAACAAGTAAACTGAGTATTCAAAAGTCAAAAACACACAAACTAATAAAATCTATGAAAAAACACGGACAGACTAAAGAAAACACGTTTATTCACCGCTACACGGCACTGGCTAAACTGTTTCAATTTCAGTAGCCACCTGCACTTGTTCCGAGCTCTGAAATACACGCTTTCTCATTGGCTATGTCCACGCATAGGCGTGCTTTACTCCACGTGGACCGGTGAAACTGCCTTTGATCTCTTATTTATTTTTTAATAATTTATTAATTTGCTGCGACATTTGGCGATTTTTGCAGCAACAGAGCGTGTTAAATATAGATATATAAAACGCACCCGGTATTTCACAGTGTTTCAAGTGACTTCAGATAAAGTATAGGTACAATCACGTTTCTCACTCAATAGCTTCCATAAATTGGTTAAAAATATCCGATATGTTCAAATATAACTTTGTCAAACTTGTCATCAAAGTATTAAAAACCTCTGTTCTCTCTTACCTTAGCTTGCTTATAGGAATTTGATTCATGATTTGAATATGCGCAATAATTATCTCCTGACATTGCCAGAATATAGGACTAGGATAGCCATATTTCAACGCCCTTTTATGTTCGCTGCTGTGAAATTAATCAATTCCTTTGGCCAAAACTTTATTAGCAACTGTTCCAAAAAATGCTTAATTGTTTTTTATTTGTTTCTCTCCAGTTTGAATTATGATCTTCTTATGCCTCTTCCTGATACGTAGGACGACTAAGGCTAAGTTTTAGGTCGACGACATGGTTAAGTATGAATGGGCATTGGCCAGACTTCGCCATTTGTAACAGTACTACTGTACGTATTTGCTAAAATAAAGTCGAATGAACTGAAAAAAAAAAAACGTGATTTTGAGACATGAAATATGGGATCTTTTATGATGTATAAAGTGCAGTCGGAGAGCAAGTTTTTAGATCGCTATGTAACGAAGCTTCATGCCCGGTCAACTTTAATGATTTCACAGTTAATCAACTGGTGATTAAATAATGTAACCAAAGAAGATTCATCACATTTTTCATTTCTTGTTCTCACACGTGATTAGGTTTGAAAGGGTGAAGACAACTTATACAATCCGGTTACGTTGCAACTAAATATGCAGAAAATTGGAAAAAAATCAATGCGGTTCGCTTGATGGCTTGGTTATGAAGATCTGATAAATTTCGTTTCCTTCTTTGATATACGTTGCGACCGCTGCGTTGCGGGAAAAAGAAAATTGCTGTTATGAAATTACGGTTTATGTTGAATTTGATGAATATGCGTTTAACGATTAAGCAAGGTTTTTCAATTTATGGTTATTTGTATTGGTATTGTTACAATTTTAATACTGCTATCATAAAACTTATATGTAAAAAGTATAAGAATAGATGCGAAATGAAAATCTGTGGCTGCACGTAAAACAGCGAGTACTATAACGATATGAACAAGTTTTTGCTACTACTATTACGAACTAGAAGCTGTAAATTTCCATCTGACGGCGTACCAGATAGCAGATAGGTGGCTGACTTCCTCTGCGGTGCAAGATATCCATCGTAATTCTCAGGTTCTCCTCTTCAGGGATCGGCCTTGGATCCAACATTGTTTCTATTAGATGTCAACGACCTCCTCTCCTGTCCAATCAATCCGATCCACAGCTTTGCTGGTGACAGCACTCTACACACATGTACTGGGTGTGGCAACCCTATCTCAAATGAGCTGGAGAGAAGGGGTGCCTTCATCTCTGTCAATATATACTAAGTGACATATAAATCCGAACACATAGTTTAAATGGCTTTATTTTAATAAAAGTTGGTGAATGTATTTATCTTACTGTAAATAACAAGTGAAAAAATTTTCAGCCTTATCAGTTGGACATTCCGGTTTTTATACTGCTTTTTTTTAATTCACTAACGCTCTAAAAATGAATATTTCAGCCGCAGTAAAGAATCAACGTTGGTGGATTTTGGTTCTTGACATCCTTTACGATCGGTTACGATCCCTAGAGTACGGAGACCTGTACGATTTCGTCAACTTAGTGAGTTTGATAGGGGCCGTATAGTGGGACTTCGGGAAGCTGGACTTTCTTTTCGGGCAATTGCAGTTAGAGTGCAAAGAAGTGTTAGACACTGTGGTTAGGTGTTGTCAGGCATGGCTTCGAGAAGGCCGTACGCAAAGAGCAAGGGGCACTGGACGCCGCCGTAGAACAACAGACCGTGAAGATCGCCGCCTAAGATTATTGGCCTTAAGGGACCGTTTCTCCACTACCAGGTCCATTGCAAATTAATGGTTTGCAGAACACGGAAGACCTATTGGCATGCGAAGTTTACCGACGAATGAGAAGTTTTGGCTTGTTTTCATACCGGCCACACTGGGTCCTCCCTTTAACTCGAGAACACCGACGTAATCGCCTTGAGTGGTGCAGACAACGGTCACTCTGGGATCAGGAATGGAACAGTATTGTCTTTAGTGACGAGTCTCGATTTTGTTTAGGCATGCACGATGGTCGTGCCAGGGCTAGAAGGCGACGAAGGAGGAATCCACAGTTTTTTGTTGAAAAACATGTTCATCACACTGTTGGAGTTATGGTTTGGGGTGCTATAGCTTATGGTTCCAGGTCAAGTTTAATCTTCATCAGAGGTAACATGATCGCGCAGCGTTATATCCACGATGTTCTAGAACCCCATCTTTTACCCTATCTTGACACCCTGGCAGATCCAACTTTCCAACAAGATAATGCCCGACCACATGTTGCAAGAGTCACAATAGACTTCTTTCAACATAATGATGTCACATTGTTACCATGGCCACCAAGATCTCCCGACTTATCCCCAATTGAGCACGTGTGGGATATGATGGGTAGGAGATTGCTCAATTTGCAACGTCCTCCTCAGACTCTAGAAGCACTTTAGGAGGAGTTGGTGGTTGCCTGGAATGTGATACTACAGGAGGACATTGACCACCTGATCAGAAGCATGCCTAGGCGCGTTGGAGAATGCGTAGCACATCAGGGTGCATCCACACATCATTAAAGGTCAAAGGGCTTTAAAGCAGTGCAATCATTTTGAAATTTTTATCATTTACTTATTATGCTTCATTAAGTACTTATACCAAATTTTATTAAAATAAAACCATTTAAACTGGGTGTTTGGATTTATATGTCACTTAGTATATTTGAAAGTTATAACTGCTTCTGGAAGGAACAATTTGTTACAGTGTTGTGCTTCCAAAAGGCAATATTGAACATTGACTAATAAGAAACGCCCTAGCCTCTACCCAGTTTCGATGCTGCTCACATGTTTTGTACACGGAATCGTTTCTTACTTAACCAATGAGGAAAACAATCTTGCTTTCTTGAAAGTGATTATCCGAATATGTGTAGAATTTGACACATTCCATTAAAAAAATAGCACAATCTTTTTTTTAAGTGATGCCCCATAATCAATCATACTGAGATACTCCAAAAGAAGAAAATTCATATAACACACTACAGCAATTCAATGTACAAAAACGCTCAAATTTGACGGCCCGCCAGCTCGCAATTTTGAAAGATCTTGTAACTTGTTTTTGCGAATACTTAAAAAAACTTATCCCAAACGAAGTTCGCATTTCTTACTCAAAATGCATTGCAAGTGATAATAATCATTTTTTTCTTTTCAGATAACATTAGCCGTTTTATTGGCGTTAACGACATACGTTTCAGCCTTTTTCTGGGGTAGTTCGGAGCCACAGTAAGTACAATATGCTAAGTATATGATATATCTAGATTAGTGCATGATGCGTCAGAATTATATAAGTACGAGTACATATATCTTATGCAGCGAATTGGATCAAATAAAAGCTCTAGAATACCTTTAATGATGTTGATGAACGTACGAGATAATATAGGACCTAGTACGGTACCTTGTGGTACACCACACCTTACTGCTTACAACAAATTTTAGTTTTTTAATTGTATCTTGTGGGAAAAGTGCACTTCTTTGTTAATTCGCGCTGAATCCAAAAATGACAATGAAATAAAAAAATTAGTTGCGGTATAGAAAAAAAACTTTTTATTTTTAAGGATATATTAAAAAAAGCAACAAGATTCATATACTTATAAGAATCACTATATGCGCTGTCTTTTTGCTGTTCTTTTATGGAGCATCTCTGCCAAGAGTCCAACAGTAGTCTGCAAGCATGGAAGGATTCCACTTTCCCTGGTACCTTTTTTCCATTGTTGAAATATCCTGATGAAAACGTTTGCCGTGCTCATCACTTACGGCTCCGCAATTGTCAGGAAAAAAGTCCAGGTGTGAGTGTAGGAAATGTATCTTAGGAGACATATTACAGCCCATCTTTTGATACGATGACAACATATTTTTGACAAGGGTTTTATATTTGTCAGCTTTTCTATTTCCCAAAAAATTAGTGACCACCAGACGGAAATCATTCCAAGCAGTTTTTTCAATACCTGTTAAAGTGTTTTCAAACTGTGTATCCTTCAAAATATTTCGAATCTGTGGCCCAACAAAAATACCTTCTTTAACCTTTGCCTCACTTAGTCTTGGAAATTTCTGACGCAGGTATTGAAAAGCTGACCCATCTCTATCTAATGCCTTGACAAAGTTTTTCATTAGGCCCAACTTGATATGCAGTGCTGGTAATAAATTTTTTTTCGAACCACTATGCATATGCTGTACATTTTTTTGACCTGGCTCTAGGAATTGACGAACAGGCCAGTTTTGTCTGGTGTAATGAATTGCCTTTGCCCGACTGTCCCATTCACACAAAAAACAGCAAAACTTTGTGTAGCCTAGCTGCAGCCCAAGTAAAAGTGCAACAACTTTCAAATCGCCACAAATATGCCATTGGTGCTCATCTTATTTTATGCATGTCAATAGGTACTTCATATTGTCATATGATTCTTTCATGTGAACTGCATACCCTACAGGAAGAGATGGTAAAATATTTCCAATATGCAATAACACTGCCTTTAAACTCAATGTTGGACAGTCTATAAACAATCTCCATTCTTCTGGGTTATAGTTTATATTTAAAGCCGCCAGTAAGCCGTTAATGTTACTGCAGAAAACCAAGTTATTCTCCATATTGAAAAATGGTTCTAAGTCTTTGTGGCGTTTACGAAAAACACATACCGGAACATCGTCTTCTAACAAGTTCCACTGCTGCAGTCTTGATCCAAGTAACTCTGCCTTACATTTTGGAAGTTCTAAATCTCTTACAAGATCATTTAATTCTGACTGTGTTATTTTGTGCGGTTGGTGGCATGACGTGCCCAGTATAAAATCAGGATCTCTTGTCGTTGATGGCATATCTTCTTCCTGACGAATCACTCGATCGCCATGATCTGATTCGTTTTCTGATTCGCAAGTGTAGGATTCTGGGGGTTTTGGAATAGGATTTTCGTCACTGTGAGGCACAGGTCTCATCGCAGATGGTATGTTTGGGTAGTTAATAACCGATTTTTTTTTCTTGGACATACCTGTGACTTGTCCAACACAAGGTACCATGCAAAAGTAACAATCATTAATATGATTTGTAGACTCTCTCCAAACCATTGGGACAGCAAAGCGCATAGACCGTTTTTTGCCATTTAACCAGCTCCTCAGACTTGAAGCACATGTATTACAGCAGATGTGGGGTGCCCACTGTTTGTCTTGATCACCTAGTTTACAACCGAAATAAAGCTGATATGCCTTTGTTATTAGTGGAGTAATAGACCGTCTCTGAGACGCAAAAGTCACATCACCACACACACGCAACAAAACTGATCTGGATTGTTTACACACTTTCGAGACATCTTGCATGAACGCTGTCAGCCAACTGAGGAAAAAATGGCTAATATAAAACAATATAATGTACACGTATGTATAACGTAACATAATCATGCCGATTACATCAACTTTCCTAGCCGAATATAAAAATGTAGCACGTGCATTCTTGTGAATTACAGTATATTAACACTGTCACAGCAGGAACACATATAATTACCGTATCCCTAAAACTTGAACTAATATTGAAAAAATAAGTTTCATTCCGGTTTTAGCACATTAAAAATAGTAATGTCTTGTTGATTTTATTTAGGATATTTTTTGGCTGTTGATCAGTGTATTTTTACTCTTTGACATCAAGCTAATTATACATTACTACTGTTACTAAAAATCTATAAATGGGCATCATGCCAACTTCTATAAATAAAATGTTTAATACAAAAGTTGAGGAGCTTAATATAAAGTGTTACAAGAAATATATTTTTATATACAGGTTATCTCAGAAAAATGCTATTGAATAAATTTGTTTTTTAAATGAAACAGCACATATATTTTCAGTCAACATGATCTGCTTTTTTCCAATTCCTGGTATGTATGAGTTTAATACGTATTTCCATTAGATCGGTCTAAAACTTTCGTGTGGCATTAATTGATGTGCAAACCAGTTTGCATCTAACGGTCTGTGCAATCTGGTATAGAGACGGATACATAAATATGATTAAATGACATATATTTTACGTTTTTGAGTAAAGTAATGAAAACAAGCCATATATTTTAGAATCAGAAGACTATGACTATGGCTAAAAATATACAACATAGAAAAAGAAATACAGCTTTATTCGATAGCCTTTTGCTGAGTCATATATAAAGTGAACATTGCCTGAAAAAATTTTAATATAACCTTTTGTCTATATATATTTGTTACTATGTTTATTTATATGGATCCTTGGGAAATGTTAACATACAGCATAAACGTAAATGAGGGTACAAAATACTGATCTCGTTCTGGGTAATTGCGACAACCTTTAGATGAACTATTGTTTCGTCATGACAGACGTAGCTAAAGCTTTCTTAGAGAAGCAGTGAAAGATATCGTAAAAGCACTTGATCTGTAGCTTATTTATCCATCCCAAAATTTTCAAAGCTGTAGATAATTAACGAGTTTAGAACTTGTAAATTAGGATGCTTAGGCAGTTTGGATGTAGCAAAATATCTGTATCACATAATCCCGATTTTAGATTAAGTCAATTCAGTTTATCCATGTTTCTTTCAGGACGCCAGCCTCAAGCTACTACTACCACAAGCGACTTCTACAAGGTCCTGTCTACACCGTGATAGATCCCACGCGACCCCGTATACCAGCAGTGCCCATACAAGTACCGTTGCAGGCGCAATTCCAGCCAATGTCCAACATTCATAACGTCCAACTAGTGCCATGTTTATGTCCCGTAAGTACCGCAGAGGAAATAGACGGAATCGAGTCCGAAATGTTTCGATTCCGATTCCAATGATGTCGGTTCCGATTCCTAAAACCGCGATGAATTTTTAACAGACGATATCGCTTGGATTTGAGTATCATCGCTGTCACTATACGGATCCTCACAGCAATTGTAATTTTAGCGATACTAAGGGCCGTATCGTCAATCGTTCCTCCAATTGTAGGACGCCTTTATGGCCTCCTTGATGTGCATAGTTCTTCCTGTCCTTCATCCTAGATTTCTACTGCTTCGTGTGAGTGCTCTATTTTGAGGTTATATATATAACCTCTCTCTCTCTATATATACATAGGTCAGACTTCCAGATCTCTTAAAGGAAGGATTACATCACACAAAAGTGATTCTAGGCTTCATCCTGAAAGTTGCGCTCTAGCATCTCATGTTAACACAACAGGGCATTCTATGAATTACACAAGTATCAAAGTTCTTGATAAAGAAAAACACCTTTCCAAACGTTTATTCCTGGAAATGTCCCACATTTTCATGAATAACAACTGTATCAACAAAAAAACAGATGTTAAACAACTGAGTGTCATTTACTCATATTTGCTAAACTGCGAAAAATTGGAGAACTTGCATATCTCCCCAAATTTTGACTCTTCACAACCATAAATAGAATCTGTATCTTGGTCTATTCCACCAGTAAATTTCATTCCACTCAAAATCTAATAATTCTCTTCTCACGATTTAATAATAATTGTTAATTTAATTTCCCATTAATTAAAATATAGTTTATTCAACTGCTTCTGGTCGGGTTAACAATTTCTTACATAACATTCTGAAAATCACATCATCTGAAGTGATTTGGCAACGTTGGCACACGCCTACAATTCGTTCCATCTTTCTACACAGACAATGACAACCTTCGGCCTTCTGTCAAAGGGTTCATCTCACTCATTATTCCATGACCACCATTTTGTGCAATCATCAAGTGGCTTCACGATGTAATGCTTTAATGTTTTTAAATAACTTTTAATCTGTTTTTAACTTGTTCTTGTCACATTTTATATAATTTTGACCATTGTACCATCTATCCAGCTCTCACCATGTTACTGGACGTTTCCCTCATCCTATACGTAAACAACAATTAGCAACATCCTCACATACTACTGTAAGTTGAGTCAATTTAAATTCATTTTACACTTTTGTTGCTACTGTTATCATTGTAATTGCAGCTCCTGATGATGATGGCAAAGTCCATTGAAAGCTAGAGAGAATTAAAAAGGTATAAAGAGTCCTCTCTGCTTAAATTTTGTCGAAGTACCCAACAAAAGGCGGAAGCTTTAATTTTTCACCAATATATGTATATATATATATATAACTTGAGATGTGATCATTGTCGTCTAGGCCAGTTAGGTGAAAAATTTTTCACCTATATAACGTATATATAACTTGAGATGTGATCATTGTCGTCTAGGCCAGTTAGGTGAAAAATTAAAGCTTCCGCCTTTTGTTGGGTATTTCGACAAAATTTAAGCAAAGAGGGCTCTTTATACTTTATTAATCTCTCGAGCTTTCAATGGTCTTTGCCGACATCATCACGAGCTGCAATAACATTGAGAAAAATAGCAACTGTTGTGCAAAATGAATTTTAAATTAACTTACAGTAGTATGTGAGGATGTTGCTAAATGTTATTTACGTTTAGGTTGAGAGAAACACTCAGTAACCTGGTGAAAGCTGGAAACATGGTACAATCATCAAAATTAATACAAACTACACACAGCTGTATGTCAGGAAAAAAATTAAAACGGATTAAAATATTTAAAACGAAAGTCAAAAATTACATCGTGAACCACCTGATGTTGCACAAAATGGTGGGCATAGAATCATAAGTAAGATGAACCTTTGACAGATGGCAGAAGGTTAGTAGTGTCCGTGTCGACGGTTGGAACGAAAATTCTTTTGTAAAGTGATTGCTATGTTGCCAAATCACTTGAGATGGTATGATTTATCAAGATATGTTGGGTAAGAACTTGTCAACCGACCAGAGGCAGTTGAACTAACTATATTGTTGATGAGATGGGCAAATGAATTAAACAATTATTATTTTATTATGAGAAAACAATTATTCAAATTTGAATGGAATGGAATTTTTTTTGGTGGAATAGACCAAAAAGCAGATTCAATTTATGGTTGTGAAAAGTCAAAATTTGGAGAGATATGTAAGTGCTCCAACTTTTCGCAGTTTAGCAAATATGAGTAAATGACGCTCAGTTGCTTGACATCTGTCTTCTTATTGATACAGTTGTCATTCATGAAAATGTAGGGCATTTCCAGGAATAAACGTTTGGATAGGTGTTTTCCTTTATCAAGGACTTTGATACTTTTAATCCGTTTTAGTTTGTTCCTGACATACAGCTGTGTGTAGTTTGTATTAATTTTGACGATTGTACCATTGATCCAACTTTCACCAGATTACTGGGTGTTTCCCTCAACCTAAACGTAAATAACCTTTAGCAACATCCTCACATACTACTGTAAGTTAATTTAAAATTCATTTTGCACAATAGTTGCTATTGTTCTCAATGTTATTGCAGCTACTGATGATGATGGCAAAGACCATTGAAAGCTAGAGAGATTAATAAGGTAATAAGGGTACTCTTTGCTTAAATTTTGTCGAAGTACCCAACAAAAGGCGGAAGCTTTAATTTTTCACCTACATATATATATATATATATATGTAGTATATATGTAGGTGAAAAATTAAAGCTTCCGCCTTTTGTTGGGTACTTCGACAAAATTTAAGCAAAGAGGACCCTTTATACTTTTTTAATTCTCTCTAGCTTTCAATGGACTTTGCCATCATCATCAGGAGCTGCAATTATAATGATAACAGTAGCAACAATAGTGTAAAATGAATTTAAATTGACTTAACTTACAGTAGTATGTGAGGATGTTGCTAATTGTTGTTTACGTCAATTTAAATTCATTTTACACTATTGTTGCTACTGTTATCATTATAATTGCAGCTCCTGATGATGATGGCAAAGTCCATTGAAAGCTAGAGAGAATTAAAAAAGTATAAAGAGTCCTCTTTGCTTAAATTTTGTCGAAGTACCCAACAAAAGGCGGAAGCTTTAATTTTTCACCTAACTGGTCTAGACGACAATGACCACGTCTCAAGTTATATACTCGTATATATATATATAAAGAGAAAATGATCATGCGGAGAAAGGTATATAACAAAAAATAGGAAAATAATGGGCAAAATCCGTAAAAAGAAGGAAAGTGAATTCGAGCAGAAAATAGGATAGGTAACCCGAGCGATACGTATTTCTGCTGGTTGGCTTCATCAGGCCCGAAATGAATGCACATATGCAACTACAAAAGCAGATACACATGCTCACACATCCGGATACGGGTGTAACCTGAGGAAACGAAGATGGAGAGGAAAAAATCACACACGTAGTCCACAACAAGAGCCAATCTACACATTGTAGTATAAAATGGCTAGAAGACTTCGAATTTTTAAGGCGACATCTAACCACAACTACGCGGTCGGTTATAGCCACTCGCTGTTTTTCAAGCTCTAAGATAATTCGTATTGTTTCGATACGAGTTTAGCAACAATTTGAAATGATTTGACTATGCTAAGACTAAAAGCCTAGCTCACACCTATTTCCTGGGCTCCGCAACTCCATAAGCTAGTCGGTGCGTGCCAACCAGGCATAGACGATCTGTTTTCGGTAAATGTGTGCGAAATGTTTCTGTCGATTTTGATGGACATTGAATTAAAAAGCAAAATCTTGCCGGTAATTGAAAATGGACTCCACTTGGTTTTAGAAATTGAAGATCGGAAGAAGGTGGGGGAACATTCAAATCTTAGAAGCTAATTAAGATTTTTTCCAAAAAAGGTTAATACACAAAATTTTGGAAGGTCAAAAGAGGAATTTATTGATGACCTCCAATATGACCTAGGTCATTTGATGGTCAGCTTCGTGAAACCAAATTGCAGCTACCAGTTCTTACAGCAGATTCATGACAGATACGAATCAATTTTCACGTTAAATGATCATTATTGGTCAAGTTGCAAGAGCTGAAAACTATACAGACTTGGAACATAATTCGAAAAAAGCTTTCTACAAATTTTCAGGATATCAAGAAGGGACCTCTAGTATGACTTTTCGAAGGAAGCTTTCTACAAATTCCTAGGATATCAAGAAGGGACCTATAATATGACTTGAGAGGTCATTTGGACGTTAGTTTCGCAAACTCAACTACTATTTTTGAAAACAGATTCGGAATAGAGAACCTTTTTTGAAATAATGCATGGTTATCAAGTTAATAGAGCATTCATGTACTGTGCAGACATTATGGTTTGGCCAGTTACGACTACTTGACCTCAAGAATAAGAATTGATTCTTACATAGATTTCAGTACTGATCACACATCTGCTGTCAAAAGTGGTGGTTGATATTTGAACTTATAAAACATCCAAATTACCTCCAAGGTCATTATCTAGGCCATATTACGAATACATTGCTTTTTTGATCTCTCTAAACTTTTGTAAGAACGGTTGCCAAGTACTCGGGAACTTCGGAGATTTAATAAATGTTTTTTTCGCCGTTGTCTAACGCGTAAGATTATTATTATTATTATTATGATAATTGAGATGAGCAGAGTACACAGTACTATAAGCTCATGCAGTAAATATAGTGTACGGACACGTAACACAAATACATCAAATAGAAAAAAATAAAAAAAGACAGTTCATAGCTATACAGTTTATATATTATATATACTGCACTTTGAAGCTATTAACTGAAGTAGCACCAACCACACTTTCAGGTAAACTATTCCAGGTGTTGAATATGCGGTTGGGAAGAAACCACTGTCGGACTGTTGTTTTAAATGGCTCCTTATGCAGTTTGAAGCTGTGTCCGCGTAGATTGCTGCGCGACAGACGGTATAGATGCATGAGGTTGGTGCCCATCGAACCATGAAGTATCCTGAACGTAACTATAAGATCGCCACGAAGTCTTCGCTCAGAGAATGAGGTCAGGTTGAATAATTCAAGGCGATCTTCATAGCTTGGTCTTCGTGCTCCAAAAGGGATACGAGTAGCCCGACGCTGTACTGATTCGACGAGATTTCTATCGCGCAGAAGCACAGTGTCCCATACCGGGCCAGCGAATTCAAGAATTGGCCTCACGAATGCCTTGTAAATGTAGGCGCAAGTGTTGACATCGGATCCTTTGAAAGACCTCTCCAGCATGTATAGAAGTTTCTTGGCTTTTGATGTAACGTGGTGAATATGCTCTGACCAGGAAAGACGATCGTTGACTACAACGCCCAGATCAGTGTGGCTGGAAACTGCTTCGATGTTGTGGTCAGAGATCTTGTATGTAAATCGCGGATTTGTCTTCCCGAGGTGAAGGACACAACACTCAGTTAGATTTAAGGGTAAAAGCCAACTGACTGACCATTGACAAACAATATCAAGATCTCGTTGAAGCATAGCAGAATTTACGACAGTATTGTAAATCTTGGTGTCGTCGGCATAAGCTGAACATGTGGAGAAAATCAATGCGGGCAGGTCACTTGTATACAGAAGGAACAGCACTGGCCCCAAGACAGAGCCTTGAGGAACTCCACTTGCTACATGATGAAGGTGAGACTGGCTATCACTGACGCGCACAGAGAAAGTCATCCCGGTGAGAAAAGCCTTAATCCACAGTAACAACTCGCCTCTTATTCCCATACATTCCAACTTAAACAGAAGCCTTCTATGTGGTACGCGATCGAAAGCCCTAGAAAAATCTAAGTAGTTTATATCAACAGGAGTCTTTGTGTCCAGATACTGAGTCCAATCGTTGAGAGAGTGGAGAAGGTTGGTCATTATTGATCGAACAGGGAGAAATCCATGCTGATTCTTAGGGATAAGGTCATTTTTGGAAAGCAAATGACAAGAGCTTATCTAATATGATTCTTTCAGCTATTTTGGCGGCGATAGGAACGAGACTTATTGGTCGATAATTTTTATCGAAGGATTTGTCGCCCTTTTTGAATACAGGGGTAACAGAAGCACTAAGCCAGCATGAGGGTAGGGTATGAGATCTAAAAGACGATGTGAATATCAAGCTTAATGGTTGGGCAGTGCTGAAGCGCAGTTTTGAAGTACAGCAGCCGTCCTCCCATCTTTACCAGGGGAGGAAGAGGTCTTCAGATTTCGCAGGTGCATTAATACATCTTCAGGCAGGAACTCAACTTCGCAAAGGCTGTTGGGACACCTATGGCAGATAGTGGTCGGTAGAAGGTCTCTATTAGGCTCATCGACGAAGTCATCACTAAAGGACTCTGCCAGTAAGTTGGCAGATTCGGTGGCATCCATGTGGAGATGACCGTCAGCGTCGCGGATCTGAGGTGATGAAACTTTGGAATTCAGGTTTGTTCTTAGATACCGAAACAGCTTCTTCTTACTTTTGGAGATAACGAGTTTTCGTTCATAAGCATGTTTGGCATTATGTAACGTTCTAGATAGGAGGTTAGAAAAGGATCGATGAGACACGTAATCTTGTGAATGGCCACTCCTCCTAAACCGTTGCCACAAAGATCTCTTGTGACGAAGCATCCTCGATATGTTAGAGTTGATCCAGGGCTTTGAGGGGTCACAGTATACCTTCTTTTCAACAGTATTGTCAGCCGTTTCGCTTAGCACTCGTTGAGCGAAAGTGTCCCACATATCTTGGGTGCTACGGTTGTTAAGCAAAGCAGGCCAGTTGACTTCGGACAGGGCTTGGTTAAGAGCATCGTGTAGACGTCCACATTTCCATATCGCACCGATTACGTCGCTCGCACAAAACTGGCTTTATAATCCTGCGCGTTTTACTAAATACAAGTGCGACCACTGATCCGCATTGGACGAACAATACACATCGCACGATAAGTGGTCATGGGTGCCTACAATAATGTTTCTCAACTCATCAAAACCACAAATATTGAACATCTGAAAATACAAATGCTATACTGAAATTGTTACAGCAGCAGCAATCGGATTGCTACATAGGGTGCGGTCTAATGGGACGCGTACCTTTACTGAACAAAAGTCGCATTTACTTACCCTGTTTCATTTGTTACAGGTAACAAACGAACCTCAGTACTCGGAACCAATACCTCAAGGTCCACAGACGACTCAGCAAGAGATGTACATGTCAGCGCAGCCTCAAAGTTTCATTCAACAGCCTCAACAGCAACAGCAAACGCAAAAGTGAGGTTATGTTGACTATTGACGTGTACGATATAAAGCTTATTTGGCATTTTCGTTAGGTTTTTCTTTAGAAATAAGAATTATGCATACTATTTATACGTACCTGATGCCATAATTTTGACGCTAGATAGAAAAACTCGCTTTAATTAAGCCTTCGTGTAATAATTTTTTGACAATACCTTAGCTTCCAAACGCACTTTTAAGATACTGAATGGGTAAGTTATTTATTGTTTCTAAGAATAAGCCTGATGTAGGTGCCTTATTGAACAAAAAGTCACTTAAAACCGTGATAAAGAGGTGTCACTTTTACGTTCCAAAACTGTAAATAAGTTTTATAATAGACTTTTTAGGAATTCAACGTTGCTTCTTAGTCTCTAAAATTTTTGAGTTGCAATGCTAGACTGTTAAAAATGTGAACAATGTTCAAATAATAATAAAAACACTGCTTAGCCCTGCACTTGAGTCTGCTTATCAAGTATGGTTTACAATAAGATAATAAGGCAGCGTTTAAAGATAATAATTCCAAAATCTTGACAATATACAGAAAATAAACATATCAGCTAGTAATATATTTATTCATTAGTTTTTACGTAAGTAAGATAAACGAAAACAGAATGAATTTTCTGGAAACCTCAAATGTATGCCGTGCATGTGGCATGAAAGTTGAAAATATTGTACCTGTAATATATTTCTGTATGTTTAATTTTTTTTCAAACATTATTCAGATGACGATGAAACCTCAAATACAAAATTGTATATCGTTCATTTAGATGGTCGTTGATAAACAATGAAACGCTGATATTTATCCACATTATTTTCACAACGTACCTCATTGGAAGACTGTATGACAGGATTCACAATGGAATGAAACGAATTGTTGTGAGTCTTTTTCAATATTTTATTGTTATGTTAACAATTACGTTATATATTTAATATATACAAACTAAACAAATATATAAAAGACTGTTATGTATTACTATGAGTAATATGTAAATAAATGATGAGTAAATGGGACTTTTTTATTTCATCCTACAAAATAAGAGAAACCGATAAAAAAGATATACGTATACTTTATCTGAAGTCACTTGAAACACTGTGAAATACCGGGTGCGTTTTATATATCTATATTTAACACGCTCTGTTGTTGCAAAGATCGCCAAATTTCGCAGCAAATATATCCTCCGTATAAGATCAAAGGCAGTTTCACCGGTCCACGTGGAGTAAAGCACGCCTATGCGTGGACATAGCCAATGAGAAAGCGTGTATTTCAGAGCTCCGAAAAAGTGCAGGTGGCTACTGAAAATTGAAACAGTTTAGCCAGTGCCGTGTAGTGGTGAATAAACGTGTTTTCTTTAGTCTGTCCGTGTTTTTTCATAGATTTTATTAGTTTGTGTGTTTTTGACTTTTGAATACTCAGTTTACTTGTTGATTTAATTGTTGTGTTGATTGTTCTTGTGTGTCCTAAATATGGCTCTTTGGAGACCTTGGGAAAATGCTCCAAGCCACGAGGAGATGGTTGATGAACCTGTGCAGGCAGAATTCTTTCATAAAGATTTAGAGGAACAGACCCAAAGAGTAATCCTAAATATGTATGATTGTTTGAAAAACGAAAATCCAGATTCCTCGCAAAATCAAATTTTAAACAGAATTTGTATCCTGACAAAAATCAGTCGGTCTACCATTTATCGGGTTATAAAAAGGGGAGATGTAGTCAACCATTCCTTCCACAGAAAGCGCATAGGGCAAAAATTAAAAAGAATAGACGTGGGGTTTCAGGAAGATATTCGTCGTATAATATACGGATTTTATAAAGAAAATTTGGTGCCCACGTTGGAAATGATACGGGATAAATTAAAAGATTATCCTGAAGATTTTTATAATTACAAATGCTTAGACTCACTGCACTGTATTGTAAAACTGTGTGGTTTTCAATACAAAAAATTAGATAAAAGAATGGTGATTATGGAGTCGTCTCGAATCGTTGAGTTGCGCCAAGAATTTTTGCACAAAGTTAAAATCTAAAGAGAGCAGAAAAGAAATCTGATTTACCTGGATGAAACGTGGTATGATACCCATGATGTTGTGCAGTACGGCTGGGTTGACGACAGCAACAAGTGCATTTTAAATGCACCATGCAACCGTGGAAAACGAATCATTATTCTCCATGCTGGCAGTGGAAATGGATTTATACCTAATGCCTTGCTGTTATCTGCCAAAAATATCAAAGAATCATGTGCCGACTATCATGAGGACATGACCTCCGACTTATTTGAAAAGTGGATAGAGCAGCAGTTAATACCAAATATTTCCCCAAATTCAGTGATTATTATGGACAATGCGCCATACCATTCCCGACAGAAAAACAAAATTCCGAATACAGCCACAAAAAAACAAGACATTATTGATTTTATGAAGGATAAGCGAATGGAAATACCACAAAAATCAATTATTGGATCTTATTAAAAGACAAAAATTTGAAAAAGAGTATGTTGTTGACAATCTGCTTCAGCAAAATGGCCATGAAGTATTACGTCTACCTCCCTATTACTGCATTTTTAACCCGATTGAGTTGGTCTGGGCTGCTTTAAAAAAAAAAGTAAGAAAACATAATCAGACCCCTCAATTAAGTGAATCGCTATTGGCCACAATAAGAGATGCAGTATCTCATATTGCTGCCACAGACCTATGGAAGCAGTGTTCTAGGCATATTATTGAAAAAGAAAATGAATATTGTGTTTTGCCTCCTGTAAATCCCGTTGTAATTCCTCTACAAGATGACTAGCGACAGCTCCGAAGGCGAGGATGATATATAAATACCTATAATGTAAGTCTTTATATACCTTTTTATATACCTACCTGCTATGTAAATATTTGCCTATGTCAAACGTTGGAATTCTGTAATTTTTTTAATTCTTAACTTTCAGTCAACATAAATTAAACTCCCAATATAAGTATTTTTTATCCCAAATCAAAAAAATAAGAAGATAGTAAAATCCATTTATTGTGATATAAAAACATTATTATTATCGTTCTAAATAAATCACCGCACGCCTATGATACGTCATGAAATTACAAAGGACGCGCCGACCAAAGGTTTTTATGCTATTTCAAGTGACTTCAGATATACCATAATATTGTATTGGTCGCCTAAATCTAATTTAATTATCCGGTTCATATACAAGGTGTACTGAAAGCTTGGACTTTTCTTTTCCCAGTCAACTACGTTTACAAGACAACACCGAAAACGCACAAAAGAAATTGAAAAAAGGAACTCACTATTCATTTGGTAAGGAATTTCAAGTACTGTTCTGTCACATGTTTTGCTGGTAAACACTGCTTGAAGTTGTGGCTGTTCGATTCAAAAACAGAAAACAAAGTTGGTTAGGTTTTAAACTGACGGCTGTTGCATGATATAAGCAAATATATGCAGCTCTGATAGAAAGAAACATCGACGACGACGGCAACGTTGTGAGAGGATATTGAATATCAAATCGATAACTGCGTTATTGCTCTAGGAATGTGACGGTTTCGGGTTTTCAAATGCGGTTTGTTTATGAGCGAGGTTAAATTAGACACCACGCGATGTCTGAAAGTCTGAACCGTATTTTAATTTTTGGAGAAATGCCTCAGAAACAGGCTAAAAGATAGCACTCGTAACTTCCATTTTTTAAAATGTGGTTTTTATTATCCATGAAGGCAAACATCTGGAAGACAATCACACGGTAGGTGCCAGATAATTGGTAGGTACCCAAGTATTTTACAGAAATATTTCATTTATTCGCTCTAAATACAAAACATATTAAAATAACAAAGGCGCCCAAACATTATATATGCTGATATAGTTTTCCGGAGCGCCATCTACGAGACACTACTTCAAAGTAGAAAATCCATCGAAAAATAAAAAGCTTAAAAATATGTGCAGTCACCTCTTGAGCAAGCTACACATTATACCATTGATTATACATAAGTAAACTATAGTCGAAATCACGAAAGGTGACGATTACGTCATCATTTTAGTCTGTAGCAAAGACTAACGACAGAGATTTGTAGGAATATTTGTAATGAAGTTTCAGATAAACAGAATTTTATTGTCTAAACAAACTGTATTGCTAATTTGCAGGTAACCGACAAAGATCGGCGATGTTTTCATGTTGCATGATCGATCATATTTAAAAGATGAATAGTTAGGTTATGTTAAAGCAGGTTAGGTTGTTTTCGAATAATACTTTGGTCTTTGGTGTTCCTGTCTTAAGGTATTCTACTCATAGCTGTTTTTTTCAAAACAAAAACTCCCCACTAAAATTATTATTAAGGTATCACTCAAAACTATGAAATAAAATGAAAATAAAAATAATCAGTGAAATAACCTAACTTCGCAAAATCATAATACTGTGACTTCGAAGTTGAGTCATTTATTTTAACAGTGAGTAGATCTGATCAAAATAAATGTTTTTTCCTTTAACATTTTTGTGGTAAAATTAAAGTAACAAAGTTATAGCCCTTTAGAAGTTTGAGTACCGCCCTGTCTCAATAATAATATTATGTGCTCGTGTTTGGCGACAACGGATATACTCCGCCTTATCGGTTCATCGCATCGGAAACAAAAAAGCGAAAGAATTTGAAACGCTGATCACGATGTTTTTATTCAGTCTGTGTCAGTCGGTAACGCGTGAGTGAATAGTGGTGATTGCTGCGTGGCTCAAACGAAATAAAAAATGGCACATATTTATGCGGATCGGTTTCCCAATCGAGTGCAACCAACCCCTCGTGCCTTTGTTAATGTAGTACAACGGGCTCGTGAATCAGGTGACTTAAGACCTCACAGGGGAATGCATGCCGGTGCTCCAAGACCTTACGATCAAATACAGGTCCGCACTGAAATACTTGTCGGGAGGATACTTTATAAAACAAGGTAAAAAAATTTTTTTATTTTTTTTTATTTTTACACACATATTTTGGTTTATCTTCCTTCTACAATCATTATCTGAAAATTAATGACTCAACTTCAAAGTCACCCTGCATAAATTTGTTGTCATTATGTTCCTGTCATCGTGATGTTATCATCGACGTACGTCCATTGATTACTTAGGTACAATTTATGATATGACGTAATAGTCATCTTTCGTGATTTTGACTATATACGAGTATTTGCAACAAAAAAAAAATGATCATCAACTTTTTACATCGCAATCCTCGAGCATCGTGTAATCCGCCAGCACATTTTCATTAGGCAGTGCCAAATTTGCCAAATTATTGATGAAAAAAAAGTATTAATTAATTATGTAACGATCATAGCTGGTTCGAATGAACGCGGCACGTGCTAAAATTTAATGTCAACGATTTCAATGCGATGTAACGAATTGTGTGACGGTTTTTTTCGAGCCAACCGCAGGCCAGGTAGATTTCTTTGTGGGTGATTATGTCAATCAGGTTAGTGTATCACTAGAAAAAATTGGCATCACGATTTCTGCACAATACTAACATTGCAACCTTGTTTTCCTAATCGATTTTCACTTCCCACGCCTATTGGCGAGGCATATTGCAATCGCATTCTGGAAGGTCATACAAAAACTTCTCATGACACATTTTACTCAGAAAAAATCTACATGATCTGCATGTCTCTGAGTATATCTGGCGTAACAAGTAGGTAGAGAAAAATCACCTTCAGTCTAAGATCTAGTTGAACAAGAATATGGCATACCATTCAATTTGAAAGGAATATAACGAAACTTCAATGTTCATGTTCACTATTATATAGCGGTCCATATATCTTGTAAATCACATACTTCTCCAATGCGTCGTTCTCAAAGTTACTGGTCTCCGAACCTTTTAGCCTTTCATATGGACAATCTTCATCATCGTGTTTCAAGAAATCAAAGTGATCATCATATTCTTCCTCAGCCATCGTCGGTTTGTCTTCTTTTATTTCTTCAGTCACTGGTGCAGGTTCTGTTTTAACTGCTTGTGGAAGAATGTTCGGATTTGCTACTTGTGGGATAAGATGAGGGTTTTCTTCTATTTTGGGGGTTGTAGCTTCAACCACTTTATCTTCACTCTCTTCAGTTTCGTCATTAGTTTCAGAATCACGTTCAGAGCTATGATCTTCTTCTTGTTCAGGTTTGTCTTCTTCCTTAACTTCTTTTTGCCCTTTGCTCTTAGTAGGATCGTAAGGTTGATGATGATCTTCAGCCCTCATCAAGTGGGCTGCCATTCTTTTAGCGGCCTGACCCTTCCCAGCAAAATCATACTCATAGTGATACTGCTCTTCAGTCTTTGGCGTGATGTTAATTGTCTTGCTCTCCGCTTCTTCTGGGTAATCGTATTGTCTTCTGCTTTCAGACTCATGTGGATGATCGAAATCGTTTCTGATATCTTCTAGCCTACGATGATCGAAATCTCTTGGGTCATCAAAGTATACCTTAGGAAAAGGTGTGATCATTTCGTCGTGGTTCTTTGGTTCTGCCGCATGAGAAGAATCTGAATACGAGTCACCATCTCTGGATCTGGGATAGGTGAAATGTATCTTAGGAAACGGTGTGATCATTTTTTCTTCCTTCGGTTCATCTTCGAAATTCGTAGATTCGACGTAATCATTATCTTCTACTTTATTGTTATTCTTGGCTTGTCGATATCCAGTAAACGGTTTTTTGAATAATTCATCTCTACTTTCATCCTCTTCAGTCTCATCGTAAAAATCATCAAACTGGACCTTATTGGATCGGGTTTCGAATGGGTCAAAGCCGAATTCATTTTCACTGTCCTTGTCTTCTTTGAAGGGATCGAAGTCGAACAAGCTCTCCAACTCCTGCTCCCTTTGGAAGGGCTTGTAAGAGGTTTCCTCAGCTATAACCGTTTTCTTGTCATCTGGTGTGCGACGTATTTGGTCAAGCTCTGTCAAGATCTCAGCCATGACCTTGCCTGTTGGTGAGTCATAGCTGTGGACAGTACTGGTAGTTTGCATGTTTGGGTCCGTCTTATGGACCTTGTATGTACCTTTAACGACAACTCTATCTGAAGGGAACGCCGCTAGAGGGTTGATCTCTTGTACCTCCACGTGTTCCTTGGTAATGACCTTGGAGTGGGCCCGGTATCCTTCGTCATCGGTAGCAACAGTTTCTGTCTTCTCTGGTCTCATAACAATTTCGTTCTTGTTCGATTCTCGTATCCATTCATACCGTTCATTTTTAGATTTGGGGTTCTGCGTTGTCTTGGGTTTCTTCACTACTTTCCGCTTGCGTTTGAAGTAGTGTTTAGAATCTGGTTCTACTATTTCTTCTCCCTTTGGTACGATGTGTTTGTATACGGTGTGGTGGGTTTTCTTCCGGATTATTACTGGGCCTTTTACACTGAAACACAAGAGGTTATAGTGTGATTGGTCATGTGATTGTCTCTAAGTCACCATATAAATAATACGATCTTGATCAGTTTAACAAAATGCATCTCGATATAGCTCGCGACAAACTTATAGTATCCGTTTACATTTTAAAACTGAGTATTTGTGGTGGTGTAGGGTGTGGAGGAGGTGGGGCCGATTTAATTATACCACAGTCAAACTATGTATATAAGTTTCAGTATTAAAGCAATATCGCACGTTGCTCAAATACACTATTTCTATAGACGAACCGGCTTTCATATTTACAGACCTGTATTCAGGGTGCTTCAGTTTATTGTTGCATAACTTTAAGATTCGATAGAACTTTTAAAATTAATGCATAAAGTCTATATAAACATGGGTCGAAAAATGCGTGGCTTCCGACATACAGGGTGTTTGAATTTACTTTCTAAAATAGTTTTTTTTAAATATTTCGAACAGTATTTGATGTATAACAGTGAAAATTGGTATACAAGGGTTTCTTGGTACGACAAAACGGACCATGGGCATAGCTTTACTGTAGCCGCTACAGGGCGCTCTCTACTGTACCTGTAGTGTATTACAATGACTGAAAAATTTTTCTTAGTACAATTTTTTGCTTTTTGAATAAAAAAACTGATTCTTCGCACTTTTCAACATAAAAAAGCTCTCTTGTGAATTTTCGTTATAGTTAGCCGTTTTTGAGATATTTCGATTTTTAAGGTTCGATGCATTTTTAATTATTTATGATAAAATAACGTTAAAAAGTCAGTATCTCGATAATTTTTAGAAGTAGGCTGTGCCTGCAAATATTTTTGAAATTGAAAGCAGAATAAGGTTAAACGTCATTTAGTTGATATTTAGTTTTGTTGTCTGTTGAAACCTGAAACGTTTTTTTGCAATTGTGAATGCATGAAATTTAGTTTCATTTACCTGTTTTTTTTTGTAAGTTTTATAAAAATGCCATTTTTATTCTCCAATCAAGAGTTAGCGGATATTCATTTTGTGTATGGTTTTGTAAATGGAAACGCAGCAGAAGCAGCCAGAGAATACGCACGAAGATTTCCAAACAGACGACATCCAACTCGCTCAGTATTTGTAAGAGTGCATCGCCAAATAATTGAAAATGGTTTTGAAAATCTCCAAAGGGATCAAAACATAAATGTTCGTCAGCGCAGATTTACCCGTATGATTCTGCGTGAGTTTGATAGAGTTTCTGGTGCCTTGGGAATTTCAGCAAGCCATATTCACCGTGTTCTTAGAAATGACCATATAAATATGTGGGATGATGTTATGTTAGATTTAAGAAGATTGGCCTGGTTCCAGCTTGATGGTTGTCCAGCTCATTATTCGAGAATAGTTAGAAACTGGCTGGACGAAAATTATCCAGAAAGATGGATAGGACCAGTCGCCTGGCCTCCACGATCCCCTGACCTAAATCCATTAGATTTCTTTGTGTGGGGATTTCTAAAAGAAAAAGTGTACCAGACTCCCGTAACCACAAGAGATATGCTAATATACAGAATCAGGAATTCATGTGATGAAATAAGGCCTTAATTGAATAAACGTGGTATAGACGTTCGATCATTCGTAGATGTGAATTGTGTATTGAACAATTGGCTTTACATTTCGAGCAACTACTTTAGATTTTGTATGTTTGTTCTAACTATCCAATAGCATTTTAGTTGTAAATATATAATTTAATTTGTTAAAAATAATATTGGAAAATTAAACAAATTAATATTCTGTTTTTTGTGTTTATTTGGAGTTGGGAATTATTGCTGTGTTTAAAAACACAATCTATACGATCATCTTAATTACTTGTAATGCCCAAATCGAAAATGTAAAAAAAATATTATTTTCCCATAAATAATTAAAAATGCATCGAACCTTAAAAAACGAATTATCTCAAAAACGGCTAACTATAACGAAAACTCACAGGAGAGCTTTTTTATGTTGAAAAGTGCGAAGAATCAGTTTTTTTTATTCAAAAAGCAAAAAATTGCACTAAGAAAAAATTTTCGGTCATTTTAATACACTACAGGAACAATAGAGAGCGCGCTCTAGCGGATACAGTAAAACTACGCCCATGGTTCGTTTTGTCGTACCAAAAAACCCTTTTATACCAATTTTCACTGTTATGCATCAAATATTGTTCGAAATATTTAAAAAAAACTATTTTAGAAGGTAAATTTAAACACCCTGTATTTCGGAAGCCATGCAATTTTCGACCCATGTTTATATAGACTTTATGCATCAATTTTAAAAGTTCTATCGAATCTTAAAGTTATGCAACAATAAACTGAAACACCCTGTATAATGACTATAGTATGCGCGCGTAGATACCATCAAGAAGCAGAAAAAATGTAATTAGACACTATAAATCTGTCGTGAACTAAATATACTCATTTTACAGCATATATGATGATGACGTTTCTGTCATAATCTCAAGACATTTAGATCTGCTTTTGGAAGATGAAAGTAACGACTTGATGAATGAAATCAATAGGTAGCTTAAAGTCAATTTCAGAGAAGAAACGAACTTTTTTGGAATCTATATTGGAGAGCTCACTGTGAAATTCTTAATCCCAGATAAACTCTCAAAGCTATCTGTTGAGGCAGTTAAAAACCAAATTGACTACCGCACAACAGATTTTATTTTGCTAATAACCATTTAAGACAAAGATATGGGGTATGTTTCTGGGGTTTGTCAACATTATCCGAAGATGTATTTCTTTTTAAAAAAATTGTATCCGGTCACTGGCAGGGATACCACCAACAGAAAGGTGCAAAAATACTTTATAGATTTTAATATTTCACCTATCCGATCATTATGTATATATGAATTGAGATTATGTGGTTTCAAAAATAATCATGAATTTAAACGAAGCTGTGATATGAATAACTATAATACAGGTATTAGCATAAATCAAAAGTAGCATTTCGATCACCTGACAATCTTGGTTTTCTTCTGTTCGATAATTTACCAAGCAATATCACGTCGATTAAAAATACTAGTCAGTCCAAATTCCATTTAATACAATTTTTGATACAGAATTGCTTTTATCTAGTAAACAATTTCTTGAACATTGTAATTTAAGGTTGGTTATAGGTATATTGTAATTTGTAAATTGTCTAAATTGAAATAAAGGATTTGGGTTTCACTGGGCAACTGTATAGAGTAACAATATAAATAATAATAATATTTATTCACTCAATGTACAAAGAGAACAAACAACATGAGTAAATAAATATAAAATCAAAACAGGTCCAATAGAAGGCATTGCCTGTACATGGACCAATAATTTTAAGTTGCAACTGTAGAATGCAAAAGACAAAAAAGGACAAAAACTAGTCGCAGTAGATCATGTATTTATTTGATGTTCGTATTTATGAGTTTATGAATTTCAGTCCTAGAGAATGTACCACTTTTTTAAATTTTTTTTGAAATTATTTCAGAAATGTAAATCTTTTGAGTCTTTAGGTAAAATTTCATAAAATTTTGGCGCTAAATAGAGACCGAGGTATTGTGAGGAGGCATGTTAAAATTATCATTAAATCTAAGAGCTCTGGTAACAAAACTACCACGGGGAACTAATTTGCTAGCAAGGTAAGCTGGTCTGTTAGATAATAGAACTTTATGCGTGAAGACGGTCAAAAGATATAAAAATAACTTATCAATTCGCCACCAGTTGAGTTCTTTGATTTTATCTGAGACGCGACTAAACTTGCGCAATCCAAAAATACACCTACAACAGCTGTTCTGAATTTTCTGGAGTTTTCTTTTGTGGACGTAGTCTAAACATGGGTCATAAAGTACAAGAGAGTAAGGAATGACAGACAATGATTATGTTTAATTTTTTTTTCGGTGTTGACAAATTTATGGTAGTGAGTGATACTGTAGAAAAAGTAAAGCTGTCTTATATCATACATTCGTAATCTGCGCTTAATAAATGTTTGGCTACCACAAAGCAAAAATTGGTTATATTTAAATTGAAGTCCAAAATGATTAACCTGTCTTGTAAAAACATCTAGCTTCCTGATGTTATAATAGTCTTGTGCCTGGGAAATGCGTACTTAGTCACAAAAAAGAGAACACCCAGTAAAAAAGTTTCAATTTGAATGAAGTTTTTGTGGAGGATGAGGTAAAGAGCCGGCAGATGGTCTCGAGATATAGGGGGCCAAGGAATATGGATGTCCGTGATCTTGTTGGACGAGTGGTTGATCCTGGATATACCGTTTCGCCATCATACCTCCTATAATGGAAACTTGGTGACATAGCACGTAGTGGTACCTACAGTATGGTACAAGTGACGTTCAACTGAAAACTTCATATCATGTCTTTCACCGGGACATCATATGACTTGAGCCTTCCAGGATCTCCGTACCTTTCACTGATTGAACATGTGTGGGATATGATTGGAAGAGAAGTGGCATCTTTACCTTATCCTTCATAACTGCTAAATCTTTTCGGAAGCTTGGTATGAGACACCTCAAAAGGACATAAATAAATCAGAAACAGATCATGACTACCGATCGGGGCGCCCGCAGGAATTTCCCTCAAGCATCAGGGGGACGGGGACGATTATCGGCAAGAGATAACCTTTTCTGAAAGTGTGCCTGCTCCCAAGACTTCTTGAAGCTCAGAAGTGTGCCTGCCCTCAAAGCTCTTTGATGAGCGGGAGGGAGCAAATTTTCTCATAAGACCAAATTCTGAAAATCTCCAAAACTGTACATGTGCAAGTCATGTTAAATATGCAAATTTTGAGGTCCAACCGGATTTTCATAGGAGGACACAGGTCCGCCAGGTACCGCTATGCGAGCGCAGATTATTAGGGACATCTATCTATTCAGCAAATGTTTACGCTTTAAAATTAAATCGCTACTTCTTCATGTCTAACTGTATACAAAATTTGATTCAAATAAAATCACTTTAACTGGGTATTCTATTTTCTTTTCCACTGTGTATATTCCACAAAATTTCAACTGGTTGTA